TCACATACCAAAGGGGAATGTGAGGCTTCCTAGTGGTACAGTAATGCCATTGATAGCACTAGGTATGTATCGTTAGCAGTACGCAAGTTAGGCTGCGTTGTATTAGTACGTAGTAGGAAGGAGCGATCGTTATGGGAGAGTTAAAGTAATCTGTTGACAGTCGAGCTGGACGCGTTTGTGAATTAAGACTTTATGGAGATTCTTGTGTGGACCATAAGCACACAAGACCCGTAAGTATATCTCTGTTATGAAGCAAGTATTGAACTATTAACGGGTCAAGTTGTTGACAGTGGTCCATCTACATTTCTCCAATTCAAGTGCAAGCAAGTGCATAAATCTACTTCAGGAATATCGTTAATATCACGTGGTTGGATGTTCACCTTTGAGGACCTTGGCGTATGCACTGCTAGTATGACGTTGCATTACTCCATGCAGAGGCACGTTGGAGTCGTCCGACGATAACTGATGCCTCACAAGCGGACAGGGTCGTGGTGACGGCATGGATGCTTAAAGTCAACATTGATGTCGAAAATATTACCGTAACGTTAGTACTACATGACTATGGTATTCCCTCGTCGCATAATTGTATTAATAGTAACTACTCGTATCATCATGCAGCCTGCATTTGATTGTCAATAGTGTTTCGCGATGAACATAGATTTGTGATTGAATTATCCAATCATTGTACAGGATTGTTTTCATTGGTTAAATATGAAATCGTAGGCAATCTCCCTACGAATTCCATAAATAAGTCTGTACTAGTAGGACATTAGTACTGGAATTACAGGGGTAATCGCCAACATGTGAGTATCTGAGCAAACTTCGACAACAAGTGAAAATTTCGACAATACGTGAGTGAGTAAAACTTGGTTACTTAAAAAAGCATGGCGTCTTACATACTAGTATGTGTTCCTTGCACATTTTAGCAAGTCCACTGTCGATGGTAGAGCCAAGAGGCGCTTGTATGAAGCGCGCCGGCTTGCAGGATACCTGGGTTCGATTCCCAGCGGTGTCAACTTCGAATTTACACACGAGATGGTGTTTACCGGTATACTACGTAGTGTGTGATTTTGATACTGTGAACGCTGTTAATGGTTGTATGCGTTGCGTTATACTTCGAAGTATATTATTAATACTAGAACAATTGGTATTTATCTCACTGATACCACACATAACGTTACCGTTATTATTTTGTGAATTGTGTGTACCGCATCGGTAACGTTAGCTCCATTACTGGTACCAGCAAAGCCATTTGAAGAGACCCCTGGAAGAATGAGCCGAAGATTAATTGGATTTTACTGGATTTTATTCTGACAGTGAAGTGTGAACTATCTATCATACCTGTACTGTAGCTATGAGTACTTCGTGATTAGTATTAACTCTTTGTGGCAATATTGCTCGCCGGGGTACCGATTCATATATTTCGATTAACCCTGAAGTGGAAAACGAAAGAATGACGTGGAATGATCCCAGTTTCTACAATTCTGGTCTTCTAATTGAAGTTCGTTTCCTTGAAACAACCCCACAGAATAATACTAGTACATTAAATAATATTCATATTATTTTCTTGGTGTACTACCAGGTAGTGAGAGAATATTGGTGCAGCAATAGTTCCCACAATTTTGGACGAGATATATTGGTGCAACAATAGTTGATACAATTTTGGATGAGATTTATCAAGCCTTGGATAGCAAGAGAACTAGGACCATGCTTTGCTAGACTAGCGTCGAAAACAGTTGTTTTGTAAGCTTCTTTGACCAACACGACAATGCAGGTTTAACACATCGGTCGATGCACAGGATTCGTGGCGGGTCGGCAGCGGGTCCGCGTCAGGTCGGCGGTTGGTAGATAACACAGCTAACGCTATGACGTACATGAGCACTATAATATCATCAAATTATTATGATCAAACACATCGCTGCGCCCATCTGTCTTGTGCAGCATGCCAGCGCCTCTTGGCACCACCATCGGTAGTGGACTTGCTAAAATGTGCAAGGAATAAGACGCCAAGCGGTTTACAGTTAACAGTAAGGCGAAGTTCCAAGTAGTTTTCAGAAATAGCATAAGCCAATCAAAATTAATTTAGAATTACCTCTTTTTTTTTCACGATTTAGAAAATGAAGTCGATGACCTCTTTTTCTACTTTTGGTATAGTGAGTTGCGTAAAATATCGCAGAAACAGAGGTAAACAGTAGGAAACTATATCGGGAATTGGCTATATATTACCGAAATTCGCGTTGTTTTTTAATGAATATTCAATCACGCTGTAATTTCTGATTGGCTGACTATACTTGTCCTTTCAGGAAGAGCCAGTCAAATCAACTCAAAAATGGATGAGTCAATAGCGTCGATTCGTGATTCGATTCGGCGGCGATGTTCGATTCGACGGGGTCTGGAAATTCGTACCGAATCCACAATACTTGGTGCCACTCCCTTCATTTGCTAAAAATATCTACTCCCATATTAGAGACTTTTAGCAAGTCTGAAAATTGAGCACTTTTCAGGCTCGATTTCCAGTGAAGTCTGCAATCTTCGAAATTCGAAACTAAGTTCAAGTCTGCAAAGTGACGAAGACTACAGGCTATTGAGTCTGAAGTCTGCAGGGTGTAGAGACTTCTCCTGAGCCAATCAAAATCGTCTGTGGCACGTTGTGGAACCTGCCACAGACGATTTTGATTGACGATGGGCAAGCCCATGCACAAGCAGATTGCTTCGTCGTCGGAGATGGACCTTGCCTTGCTGCGTGAGGTTCTCCAAGTCGAGCCATACGATGGAGTGTAGGGCACGCTGACAGTGCGTTGGAAGACCATCGCCTCAAATCTGTCCTCTTGTTTCGAGTGCACCATACCCCACCGGTCGGCCCGCGACCACTTCGAAGTGATGCTTGAAGGACGACCATACGTATAGAATGGAGCAACTCGAGTACGAAAAGGAAGAACAAAAGCTACGGCTGGCTCAAATGGCCGAAAGTGCCAAGCGAAACGAGCAATTAGAATGACTCTTGTTAGAGATGGGAAAGTTGATCCAAGTCGTTGCGGAAAGATCAAATTAATTTTCATTATTTTTGTTTACATGTTGACATGCAAATATTCCTCTAAAGTTGGCGGGGGTAGTCCAAAGTAGGCGCTGTTAGTGTTTCGTCCTCGATCATATGTGATGCAGTTGGTCAAAAATACTGCGACCTTATACATCTTGGCAATCGGACTGTTCCCAATGCGCAACTTCTTTTTGAAGTCGACAATAAGTCAGTATTGTAGTACTTGTCCAAACGACCACTCAACACTTATTCGAACACGACTCATGCTTTTGTTGACTTCGCGCTGGGCAGCAGTCAAACGAGCACCGCCAAATGGAGAGGCGAGTTGGTCCGAGTAGCAATAGGCAGGATCGCCATAAATCACAAAACCACGAAACCGTGTGTCGGCAGCAATTACACTCTCCAATTTCGACTGCCGTAGGATTGTAAGGTCATGTTGTCGGCCTTCAATCGGTCCAAATGCATGGGATATAGTCCCATCGGGAGTCACCAAAGTCTGATACTTGACAGCATGGCGCCTTTTATGACCGTTAAATACGGTCCGCTGATGCTCATCACCGTCTGGTCGGCAGCACTCACGCACTGTTCCATCAATAAATGCCCATACGTTTTGAACTTCGCCCCCTTTATAATTTTTGCGACTGCTTGGCTAAGTGCCTCGAACTGGTTGCTGATGCGATCACGGTCCAAAAACATGAACTCGGCAAATTGCGCGTATATATGGT